AGGGGACATTCTCCCACAGAGTGGCTTCCTCCACCCAAGTACTATGTATGGGTTTGTTACACCAGTGATTGTGGGATCTTCAAGTCCTACCTGGTCTCTCATGTCTCCATCTCTTTCTCTACCTCTGTCTTCATAGATGCCTGCTGCCAACCAAAGGCTACAGAAAATGACCAAGTCCCAGGTGAGTTTTTTTGCTCTTTGGGAACAGTAGTGCAGGACTGTAAAAATGATCATGTGAGCTGAAATCATGCAAAGCGATCTTCACAACCAATGAGATTTTTTTCCTATTGGTTACAATTGTTCTGTGACCCTTAAAAATTTTTGTCAAAACATTAAATCCTCTCTTACTGTTGAATATACAAGTACAGGGAAAGGAAAGTAGTAAAACACTGTAATTTAAAACATGGAGAATTAAAATGTTTTACTTCTTTGTTAAAAAAACTTATCAAGAGCAAGTTGACTCAATTGTAACTGAAAAAACTAAAGAACGTTTTAAAAAAAAGCAATTTGGGCAGTGCCTCCTTCTCATTGTATAACTTTTAATACTGAGTGAGCGTCTTTTGTATGCTTTGGCAAATTGAATCAGCTTCCAGTATTTGGTCCTTTGTATCTAGGACAGTCGGTTCTTAACATATAATGGGTGCTCAGTAAATATTGGGTTAATGACTTAGTAAATGTATGGCCTAATGAAGAATGAACACACATGTATAAAATATGTCAAATATGAGTTCCTTGTCACCCTCAAAACAGAACATAAAAGTAGATCAATGGGCATCAAAGCATAGTGCTAGAGAGACAGAATGAGACCAGGCTAGTGTAGTATCACCCAAAATGAAGTGGGGCTAAATTTCAGGAAGCATTATCAAATGATGAACGTGCTTAGAACAAGTTGCCATGCATTTTTTTTTCCTTTAATGCAATACTGATCACTTTAGTTGGACTAGGAATGTGTTGTTACAGAAACCAGTATCATTCAAGGACGTGGCTGTGGATTTCACCCAGGAGGAGTGGCAGTATCTGGACCCTCCCCAGAGGGACCTGTACAGGGATGTGATGCTGGAGAACTACATCAACTTCATCTCAGTGGGTGAGAAACATTGCCCGGTGTTGATTGGCATGTGCCTGGTTGACGGCTTTTCTTTTCTTAGTTGCTCCAAATGGCCAGCCCTTCGGAAGACTTTTACAAGTGTGGCCCTGAGTCTTAGTCGACTAAGATTGACAATCTTCGGGGAAGTATAGCTATAAGTTTGTTTAAAGACCACTCTTTTTTGGGTACAAATTGGCATCTTTATCAGGCAGTCCTGATGAAGTTCAGAGTCCCAAGAACCTGAAGCTTCGGGAGCTAGGTCCAAATCCCATATCATTTCCTATTGACAGGATATCAAACCCCCAAGCCAGCTGTGATCCACAAGTTGGAACGAGGAGAAGAACCATGGACGGTGGAGAGAGAAATCCCAAATTGTAGCTACCCAGGTGAGTTAGGTGAAGACGTGTCTATATGGAAGGAAATGAAATTAATATCACAGTTGGTCAATCTTTGAAAAATATGCTTCAGGACTCTCTCCCTAAAGGAAATAACTGGGGAGGTTGGTG